AGCTGTCCCTCAATCATGCCGTGCAGTGCTAGGGTTATAAAAGGGCAAAAGGTACAGCCCAGCATTAGTTCCAACTTTATACCCTCATCAGACATTTTTACTGACAAGCAGTAAGATTGATTGATTTCGGGCTTTAAATGCTGTGGCCTTCTCCAATCTGGACTCTTGAGAACATGCCAAGCATTGTTAAATCTTAAAGTAAGCCAAAAGTCATTTGGCGATCTATGCATAAACATTCCCGTGCATACGACGCTGTCCTGTAACCAGAGGTCTGTGAGAGCATGAGGCTTTGCACTGTGACTCAGAGTTGGATGGCCAGCCCTGGGGCAGCTGAGAATTAAAGGAGTAAGAACAGGTGTTGACTTACTGTGTGGTTTGGTAAAGAATAAAAACCTTTCTACCTTTAGATGTTGTTGTGGACTTCTCAATAGGGGATGCCAACCAGATTTTAAATAATCTGACCTGTGAGCTCCAGGAGGGCAAAAACAAGTTCTTACGAAACTCACAAACAGTGCAGAGTGAAAAATGACAAGAAAACTACATGTATACAACAGGCAAAACTAATGTATGCTGTTTGAAGTGAGGATCGGGGTTGCCCCTGGAGGTGGGGGTGATGTAGTTGTGATTGAACAAGGGCACAAAGGAGGCTCTGTTAGATTTCTTTAACTGGCTGCTGCTAACAGTGTGTTCAGTTTGTAAAAATTTGAGTATTTATTTTACTTTGTACTTATTAAATGTACTCTTTTCTAAGCGTAAATTGTGCTTCGATTAAAGTTTAGAAGTCCTTATTTATATTTGTGTATCTTTTTGCACATTGATACTCGGGAAAAGACCTCTGTTTCATTGAATCAGCTTCACATGGTGCTGGATTTATTATCCAGATATTGGAAAACCATCTTCACCTGGAATTGTCAGGGCTAGGCAAGCAGAACATTTTTTTTTCTTTCTTTCTTTTTTTGAGACAGAGACTCGCTCTGTCACCAGGCTGGAGTGCAGTGGCACCATCTCAGATCACTGCAACCTCTACCTTCCAGGTTCAAGGAATTCTCCTGCTTCAGCCTCTCGAGTAGCTGAGATTACAGGCACAGGCCACTACACCCAGCTAATTTTTGTATTTTTAGCAGAGACGTGGTTTCACCATGTTGGCCAGGATGGTCTCGATCTCTTGACCTCATGATCCTCCCACCTCAGCCTCTCAAAGTGCTGGGATTACAGGCGTGAGCCACCACGCCCTGTGCAAGCAGAACTTCTGAGGTTATTTTTTGGCTCAATAGAAATGTGTCTTAAATGATTCCAGTGTAGACTCCTTGGAATAAAGAATGATGACACTTTTGTTCAGTAGACAAACATTTATTGACAGCCTCCTAGGGAAGTACTAGAACTTCAAGCTGTGTACAGCTAATGACATCATACCTCCCAGAAGGAGCTCGCAGTCTACAGGGGGTTAAAGTGCATGGGTGGTGATAAAAGGAGGAGCCAGGCAGTGCCACAAGACAAGCACAGAGCAACAGGCATGTCAGAGAAGAGAGAGGCGTTCCACTGGGACTAGGAAGAGCTTCATGGCAGAAGGGGCATTTGAAATGGGTTTTAAAGAATGTGTAGGATTTCAATGAACATGAGTAGATGGGCAGGCATTGTGAACATCATGCATATGACAAAATCCATAGGAAATTCATATATATTCTGAGAATTTAGGTTGTATGGTTCACTTAAAGATTTTTTTTTGGGGGGGGGCGGACAGAGTCTTGCTATGTCCCCCAGGCTGGAGTGCAGTGGCATGATCTCGCCCCACCACAACCTCCACCTCCCAGATTGAAGCATTTCTTCTGCCTCAGGATCCCAAGTAGCTGGGACTACAGGTGCACGACACCACACCCAGCTAATTTTTGTATTTTTAGTAGAGACGGGTTTCACCATGTTGGACAGGCTGGTCTTAAACTCCTGACCACGTGATCTGCCTGCCTCGACTTCTCAAAGTACTAAGATTATGAGCATGAGGCACCGCACCCAGCCCACTTAAAGATATTCTTAAGGTGTCCTTCAGGTGCAGGGTGAGGCCTGAAAGGTGGGCTAAGGCCTTATAGTCCTATAAGGCCCTTCCTAATGCCTGCCAAATGAAATGATACACCCGGTTATATTATTTCATTTAGCAGGCATTATGAAGCCAAAGGAAGTTTCTAAGATGTAGACAAGCATAATCAGATATAATTATCTCCAGTAAAGTCAAATTTCTAGCCTCAGTGATTGTACAGTTACCATTAATTACCCATCTACCCAAAATGAACATTTTCTAAGTTTTGTGCGTTCTCTCTTGCTATCATTTGAACCTGTTCCTGTTTGGGTCCACTAAGGAGCCACAGGTACATAGATTCCTTGAGCTTCCTGTAGTCAACCCTCTAGGATTTAAAGATTATTGTACATTTTTATTCCTCATCCCCATCCTTCCCACTTGACCAGGTGAAGTCACAACTCCTTTATCCTTTTTTCATATATCTTGTTTTCTAGTCTTGTGATGGGGCATTTACTTCCTTCCAGCTTTTTCTATATGGTGCTCCTTTGCCAGATAAAGCAACCAGTGTCACTCATGTATGACAAAATTGTACACTGGAAGAGAGGGGCCAAGAACTAATGCCAATGAGCGTTTGTAAGTTGTGGAGGAGACCTGGCCTGCGCATCTGGGATGGTGTCCCACTCTGCTGCTGTGCTCTCTCCTCTGGAATAGGGCACAGGGCAGGATTTATTATGTGGTGAAGTGTTAACGCTCATTGCTGGGTATGGTCCATATTTGGGTCTGGATCACTCAGTGTATTAGTCTGTTCTCACGTTGTTATAAAGAAGTACCTGAGACTGGATAATTTATAAGAAAAGAGGTTTAGCTGGGCGCGGTGCCTCATGCCTGTAATTCCAGCACTTTGGGAGGCTGAGGTGGACGGATCACCTGAGGTTGAGGGTTCGAGACCAACCTGATGAACATAGAGAAACCTAGTCTCTACTAAAAATACAAAATTAGCCAGGTGTGGTGGCCCATGTGTTTAATCCCAGCTACTCGGGAGGCTGAGACAGGAGAATCGTTTGAATCTAGAAGGCGGAAGTTGCGGTGAGCTGAGATCGTGCCACTGTGCTCCAGCCTGGGTAACAAGAGTGAAGCTCCATCTCAAAAAAAAAGAGTTTAATTTTTTAATTAAAAAATTAAAAAAGCATGGCTTTGTCTGCTTCTGGGGAGGCTGCAGGGAGCTTTTACTCATGGTGGAAGGCAAAGCAGAAGCAGGCACTTACCATAGTGAAAGCAGGAGCGTGTGTGCAAGAGAGGGGAGGTGCTACACACTTTTAAAGAACCAGATCTCAGGCGGACTCACTACTGTGAGAACAGCAGCAGAGGGATGATGCTAAACCATTCATAAGAAATCCACCCCCATGATTCAGTCACTTCCCACTAGGCCCCACCTCTAACACTGGGGATTACAATTGAACCTGAGATTTGGATAGGGACACAGATCCGAACCATATCACTCAGTGTGAGATTCGTTGATTTTTTACTTTTTTTTTTTTTTTTTTTTTTTTTGCTGTCAGCCTACCAGTCACTTAAAAAAAGGTAACATGCTGAATATTGTCTTGCTTCTCATTTGATTTCTATTAAGACTTTGTATCAAGGCATTATTCTAATCAAAGGGTTATTAACTTGACAAATGAGATGCTTCAGTTTAGATCTTAAGACTTGTTTGGAGATTGTGTTTGAACCATTTTTCATCCTCTGGGGACATCAACAGTAGAGTGAACTGACATGGAAAGAGGATTACAGTTGGGATGACTTGGATACAAGTTCTGGCCTAACCCTCGGTTCCTGCATGTTAATGAATTTAGCGTGTCCTTTGTCTGGCATGGTAGTGAAGCATGCAGAGGCATCCTTAGATCCTGACACACGGTCTACTTCTGCCTTTTCCTTTCAGAGTGCAAACTTGCCACCCCCTTCACCAGGAGGCTCAATGCTACCTTGCAGTTCTTTTCTGTAAATGGCCCATGTGGTCTTAATTTCATCATATTTTTCTTTTGTTCTTTTTCTTTTCTTTTCTTTTTTTTTTTTTGAGACAGAGTCTCACTCTGTTGCCCAGGCTGCAGTACAGTGCACAATCTCAGCTCACTGCAACCTCCGCCTCCTGCGTTCAAGTGATTCTCCTGCCTCAGCCTCCCGAGTAGCTGGGATTACAGGCACCCACCACCATGCCCAGCTAATTTTATATTTTTAGTAGAGATGGGGTTTTACCATGTTAGCCAGGCTGGTCTCAAACTCCCAACATCGGGTGATCCACCTGCCTCAGTCTCCCAAAGTGCTGGGATTATAGGCGTGAGCCACCATGCCTGGCTCTTTATTTATTTGTTTATTATCATTTTTAATCACTGTGGTGTGGTTTGGAGTTGTTTCCATTTCTAAATACTGTTGTTTTACCCAATTGTTAAAGTTAATCTTGTACCGTATTATTCTGTCACATCTTTTTAATTATTCCATTAAGAAAATAATGTTCTTGTATTGATGGATGTACCTGCTGGTATCTTTTTCCCTATCTTCCTTTTTGAAAGATTCTCTGTCTATTAAGTGAGTGAGTTCTGCATAGGATGCATTCCCTATAGTGGTGAAGTTCCCAATGAATGAGGCGTGGCAGGCATTCTAGTTACCTGGGCACTTTGGGAGACCAGGACTGATTGGTGACATCATTGTATTTTGCGTTTTCTACCCTGGGAACCAAGTTACCGTCTCATCACAGAAGAAAGTGGGTAGCCTGGGAGATCTGAATCTCACAGCCACTTAGTGTGGATGGATGCGGGAAGGAGCCAGGCTGCCCCTATGTTCAACTTGAGGGGACAGCAGGGGGGTTTTATCCTGTGACACTTGGAGTTTGAAAATCTGGGACTTAATGTATGTATCTCGTATGTGCACAGATTCTATCACAGTAATCATCTCTTTGACTTCAGATTTTAACGTGCTTCTTTCCTGTCTCTTTCAGGTAGAACGTCATGACATGAATACCTTAAGCCTGCCCCTGAACATACGCCGAGGGGGGTCAGACACCAACCTCAACTTTGACGTACCTGATGGCATCCTGGACTTCCACAAGGTCAAACTCACTGCAGACAGCCTGAAGCAAAAAATTCTAAAGGTAACGGAGCAGATAAAAATTGAGCAAACATCACGTGATGGGAACGTTGCAGAGTATCTGAAACTAGTTAACAGTGCAGACAAGCAGCAGGCGGGACGTATCAAGCAAGTCTTTGAGAAGAAGAATCAGAAATCAGCCCACTCCATCGCCCAGCTGCAGAAGAAGTTAGAGCAGTATCATCGAAAGCTCAGAGAGATAGAGCAGAATGGAGCCCCCAGGAGCTCAAAGGACCTTTCCAAAGACCACCTGAAGGACATTCACCGCTCTTTGAAAGATGCCCACGTGAAATCTCGAACTGCGCCCCATTGCATGGAGAGCAGTAAATCGGGCATGCCAGGGGTATCACTCACTCCACCTGTGTTTGTTTTCAGTAAGTCCAGAGAGTTTGCCAACCTGATCCGGAATAAATTTGGCAGCGCTGACAACATCGCTCACTTGAAAAATTCCTTAGAGGAGTTTAGGCCAGAGGCGAGTGCCAGGGCCTACGGGGGCAGCGCTACCATCGTCAACAAACCCAAGTATGGCAGCGATGATGAGTGTTCAAGTGGCACATCAGGCTCGGCCGACAGTAACGGAAACCAGTCCTTCGGGGCTGGTGGAGCCAGCACACTGGATAGCCAGGGGAAGCTCGCCGTGATCCTGGAGGAACTGAGGGAGATCAAGGATACCCAAGCTCAGCTGGCCGAGGACATCGAGGCGCTGAAGGTGCAGTTTAAGAGAGAATATGGTTTTATTTCTCAGACCCTGCAGGAGGAGAGATACAGGTATTTCAAAGTGTTTGATTGGTGGCATTTTTTTTTTTAATTTTTAATTTTAGTGGGAGCGTAATAGGTGTGGCATTCTTTTAGATGCATGTTACTGCAGAGAGATTGTCTGCTTGTTGTATTTTCACTAAATATAGATATGGAATAAAAGGCATTTAGTGATCAATACATCCCTAATGTATTTATGCATCCCTCATTCGAAAATCTGAAATCCAGAATGTTCCAAAATCCGAAACTTTTGGAGTGTCAACATGATACCACAAGTGGAAAATTCTACACATAAATAACACAAACTCAAGGCACAAAATTATTTAAAATATGGCACACTATTACCTTCAGGCTACGTGTACATGCGGCATAGGAAGCAAATGAATTTTGTTTTTAGACTTAGGTATCCCTGAGGTGTCTCATTACATATACACAAATATTCAAAATCTGAAAAAAAAAATCAAAATTTGAAACACTCCTGATCCCAAGCATTTCGGATAAGGGATACCCAACAATTCCCATCCATCATGATGCTAAGTTTTATAATTTGTGTCTTTTAGCTGACAGTTTAGAGAAGGATATATGTGTGGTGGGTCCCTTAAAATATCAGTTACAGGCAACAACTCATGTGCGTCCTAAGATTCTGATTCAGTAGACTTCTGTTATAGTGTCATTACGCTAATTCAGAGATCTGTATTTGATTTCCATCCCTAACAATTATCAAGTGAAAAACACTAGTTCATTACCCAACAAAGTTATTTTATTTGGTATATCAATCTTGACAGCCTTATGTAATATATATTTTTTCATGTTTTGTACTTTGCTCATTAAACTTTTTACTCTAAATGAAGAACTTTCCAAAGTCATCTTAAGATTAAAGTATACAGTGAAACCTTGTGGCTTGTATTAGCTAATTTTAAAAGTAGATGTTTTGTAGGCTGGCTTTTAGGGGCTTATAGCTTATTAATAAAAAGTGTGTAAGCCCAAATATAAGGTAATTCTCCCCATTTTTCTAATAAACAGATACTTCAAAAATTTTTTAGTGAACATTAACAATACATTAACTTCTTAAAATGTAGATAAAATGGTAAAATGCCTATTACAAACTATAACATTAAAAGTTTAAATTTAGCTTACATATTGTGTTATAATTGATGTATGATTTTGTGTCTGTATTGATTTAGAAATGGGGCCTTTTCAATTATTTTATGAAACAAAATTTTTTTTTCTATATGTATCTCTGGAATCTTTTACACAAGAAATATTTTTAAGTCACAGCTTTTCCAGAGTATGAACATCAGTTCTATCCAAACAGTCTAGGATATAGCACTTTTTAGATGTACATTTTCTCTCAAGTTACAGATCCCCATTTATGTGAGTTCAGGATGGTTTCTGTTTGTGTCTGTCCTGTGGTTACGTTTGTGACCCGTGTGACACAGTTACTTCCTGTATTACTGAAGAGACCTTTAAAGACTTATTCATAGCAGTAGCAGCATTTGACATCTGAGAAGTCATGCCTGAGAATAAACATTAAATCTGGATGAAGCTTTTTGGTCTCCTTTATAAAATGATTCTACCAGGTGACCTATGTAAGCATCTGAAATTGGCATTGATCAGTCATTTCAGGCTAATGAATGCATCTTCTCCAAACAGTGCATCCTGTTTCACAACGCACAGTATGAGGTTTTTGTTTTGTTTTTTGCTGTTGTTTTTACTCCTGTTTTTTGAGATGGAGTCCACTCTGTCACCTAGGCTGGAGTGCAAAGGCATGATTTCGGCTCACTGCAGCCACCACCTCCTGGGTTCAAGCGATTCTCCCATCTCAGCTTCCCAAGTAGCTGGAATTACAGGCACATGCCACCATGCCCAGCTAACTTTTGTATTTTTAGTAGAGACGGGGTTTCACCAAGTTGGCCAGACTGATCTCGAACTCCTGACCTCAGGTGATCCACCTGCCTTGGCCTCCCAAAGTGTTAGGATTATAGGTGTGAGCCACCACCGCGCACGGCCGAGGTTTTAAATATGAGAAGAATCATCTTCAGTGAGAGGGACAGGACACAGGAATGAGAATCTTTGTATTTCTGTTCCTTTAGATTTGGACATTTGGAAACACCACATGATGAACCATCTATATTTTGTAATAACCTTAATTTTGTATTGTCACTTAAGTTCCAAGAGTTGAAATCCATAATCAGTGCATGTGTGCGTGCTGGGAGATAGTAGAGTTGGCGCCAGAGTAGAAGGTGATACTAAACGCATGGTGTTTTCCCTGTGAGCGTTCTGGCCATGAACCCCAACAGCAGTGTCAGGGCAGAAGAGGGAGAAGGCACCACAGACACCAGAGGTCCTGGCCCTCATTTAGCAGGTTGCCACAGAGCCCTGTCGTCCGCCTGGCCCTGGCAAATGCGTCAGCTGACAAGCTCTATCTTGAGGTCACTGCAGTTAGCTAAGCTGCTAATCTGACCCATGTGCACCTTCAGTGGCAAGGACAAAGAGTCAAGACCCCAGAGACTGGGTCTTTTCAGATCTGGGAGTCAGTGTTCTCCAAAAGCACATTTCCCACAGCAAGCCTTACTCTTTTGGAAAAAGAGCCCATCAGGGGATGAGAGCAAGCCAAAAGATACTGGCCCAGGAAGATAAAAAGGACATTGTTCTGCAGTGCGCTGTGAAATGTCACACTCGGAATCGGCTCCTCTCTTTTAAAGGTATGAGCGACTGGAGGACCAGCTGCATGACCTGACGGAACTGCATCAGCATGAGACAGCCAACCTGAAGCAGGAGCTGGCCAGCATTGAGGAAAAGGTGGCCTACCAGGCCTACGAGCGCTCGCGGGACATCCAGGTACCTTTCCCTTAGTGATGAGACACAGGCCTGGGCTCTTCCCAGGCCTTAATTCATTTAACAGACTAAGTGCTTATGCCTGAGTCTTAGAGGATTTCTGGCACATAGGACAAAATGTATTCTCTGCACAAACATTTTCTCTCTACCATGTTAACCCCACTAGCTCATGTTATAGACATTACTAAGTGAAAAAACAATGTTCTATTTTTTTGAGGCAAGTTTCACTCTGTGGCCCAGGCTGGAGTATAGTGGGTGATCTCAGCTCATTGCAACCTCTGCCTCCCGGGTTTAAGTGATTCTGCTGCCTCAGCCTCCTGAGTAGCTGGAACTACAGGAGCCACTACGCCTGGCTAATTTTTTTGTATTTTTAGTAGAGATGGGGTTTCACCATGTTGGCCAGGCTGGTCTCGAACTCCTTACCTCAAGTGATCTGCCCACCTTAGTCTCCCAAGTGCTGAAATTACAGGCATGAGCCACTGTGCCTGGCTAAGAGACAATATACTTTCTGCCTAAATCAGTTAACAAGTATTTATTATCCACCCCAAGCCAATCACCACCAAAACTGTAAAATGTAAAAATATGAGACAAACCTGCCTTCAAGAAGCTCATTGTCTAGGTGGAGAGCATGGGATAGCACAACTGCCAGATCCCTCAAGACAGCACAAACAAGGGCCAAGTAACACGACACGGACTCTGTGAGCCACGGAAATTTAGCCATGTGGTGCCCAGCAAGCTGTGGACTGGGGGAGCAGTCAGTCATTTAGTGGCAAAACATTGGCTTTCAGTCTCATGGCTGCCACATCAGTTGTGTGGCCCTGAGTAAGACTTGAGCCCATTCACTCATCTGTAAAATAATAGTGTTCGTGTTTGTAAGAAGTTAAAGCAATTCAGTGCATACTGTGTGCTCAATAATAGCAAAGCACTTGACAGGTTTCTTTTTTGCCATTTACTTCTCAGTAACCCTTTAAGGTAGTTACTGCTATTATCCCCACTTCTCAGATAAGGAGACCAAGGCACAGAGAGGTTAAGTGGCCTAAACAAGGTCTTGCAAATCCTCCTTATGGAAGGAATGTAATTGAATGTCCTAGAGAAGGTGGGACTGGAAGGAATGGGTAGGATCTGGGTGGATGGAAGGAAAGGATAATGGGATCAATACAAACTAAGTTGTGCTCCAGTATTTCCTAATGTGATCCTGGCATGTAGAGAAACAACCCCAGGCTTCTTGATTGCCTTAAAAAATGTTTCCCAGGGCTGGTGGCTCACAGCTGTAATCCCAGCACTTTGGTAGGTTGAGGCAGGAGGATCACTTGAAGCCAGGAGTTCGAGACCAGTCTGGGAAACATAGTGAGACCCCCATCTCTAAAAACAACTTGTTAAAATTAGCTGGGTGTGGCAGTGTGCACCTATAGTCCCAGCTACTCAGGAGTCTGAGGCAGGAGGATGGCTTGAGCCCAGGAGTTCAGGGTTAAAGTGATTGTGCCAATGCTCTCCAGCCCGGAGAGTGACAGAGTGAGACCCTGTTTCAAAAGAAAAAAAAAAAAGACTCTTGGAGCAATGCCCAGCTTCATTTTTATGGATTTTCTTTGTGGACAGTAGTCCTTTTTCTCCGGCTCTAGGAAGTGGCCTAAACAAGGTCTAAACAAGGCTGTGAATCCAAACCCCACTTAACAAAGGAGAAAATTAAACATAAAGATAGCGCTTTCTCCCGTAGTGTGTGAGCTGGAGTTTCAGCTGGCCACATTTTATTCCAATCTGTTGAGACCTGAGCCTGTGCTAATCCCAGATGCCTACTTGGACAATTCTGGGAACCAGCACATAAGAGCTGATAGGAAATTCTGCCCCCAGAGACCACAATACAGAAGACGCTTGGGAGGTTTCTGGCCCTGTTCTAGATTAGAAGACTTCACTTCACCACTGGCTAAAGAACTTGAACTCATTTAAATGTTAAATGTTGCCAAGTGGGCCGGCTGCAGTGGCTCATGCCTGTAATCACAGCACTTTGGGAGGCTGAGGTAGAAGGATCAGTTGAAGCCAGGAGTTCAGGACCATCCTGGCCAACATAATTAGAAATTGTTTTTTTTTAATTATCATAGCTGGGCATGGTGGCATGCCTATAACCTCAGCTGCTTGAGAGGCTGAGGAGGGAGGATTTTGTGGCTACAGTGAGCTGTGATCACACCACTGCACTCCAGTCCGGGCGACAGAACAAGACCCTGTCTCCAAAAAACAAGTAAATAAAAATGTTGCCAAGTGAACAGTACAATTGCTTAACTAAGTCATTCTATTTTAGAACATGTTTCGGATGTCACTGGGTGGTATCTAAATACATGGTTTTCTTATTTAGGGGATAGTTTGGGTTAATATTGTTCTTCTGTGTTTTAAGAAACATATTAGTGGTGAAGAGGACAGATAAAGAGAGGGGACCACACAAAGGGAACTTAAACATCCAGAAAGGTTCATTTTGACGTTTTCTGGTTTCACCTCTCACTCAGAAGTACAAAGAGGACATCTGTGTGAATGAGTGGAGTGCCTTCTCTGTCATGATGGCTAGAATCCTGGCTCCCTCACCTCTGCTGTGTGGCCCTGGATGAGTTAGTGCTCTGTACTTCAGTTTCCTCCTCAATAAAATGGAAATGTTAAAGAGCTCTGCCTCAAAAGGTTGTTAGGAGGGTTAAATGGAATAGTCATGTAAAGTATTGAAGTCTTTGCCTGGCACATAGTAAACAGTCAAACAATAAATACTGACCCTTCTTTTTATCACATCTGGGAGTAGCCATGTCCCTCAGGCCTTCTAGCAGTTGCCTTTTGACGTCATTTCTTTTGTTCGTATAGGCAGGGTCACACAAAGGGAAGGGGCTGCTGTGGATGAGGGAGGCTGTTGCCTGCAGAGATGCAAGAGTTTTGTTGTTTTAAACAACTGAGTCATTATTTTAAACACTGAATTTCCAGTTGAAAATTGTTTCAGGATAACCGTTTTATGGTCATCGTCCCCAATAAGGTAATTAGTGGACCCAAGGAAGTTCCAAAAATTGTGGAGCTGAATACATCTGGCTGCTGTGACTAAAATTCCTTGCAATTCAATGCTTACTTTTCTTGGATTTTTCTTTTGGTTAAAAAAATCTGACAGTAGTTGTAAGACAGAATTAAGATTGGTCTATTTGTACATGTAATTCATCTTATAATCAAAGATTCACAGATTAGCCTATATGATTGGCCTTCTGTCTTGCTCCATCACTTTTTCTGTGCTGTGCCTAAAATGGAGGAAACCTTGGACCCAAGTAGTTGAGAAGAATGCATAATTTCAGGTACATGCCTGTGATTGTTGAAAGCCAGCGCTTTCTAGAATGTGAAGATCTGAAGAAGTTTTACCCTTTTCGTTGGTAGCTAGTATAACAGAAGTTACTATAGTAACAGAGAACCTGTTCTTTGGCCCATAGAGTTATTCAGCAGAAGAAAAGCAAATCAGTCATGGAGCCATTATGCCTGTTTAAAACCCGAAAAGATGACTGTATTTTAATTGAGCAAATGCAGATTGGCAAATGTGTTAGAACAGAGAGGGGCACATTGTACTACCTCTAGTTAGGTCCTTTTCACCCAACAGACTTGGGGGTTTTTTTTTAGACAGTCTCGCTCTGTCGCCCAGGCTGGAGTGCAGTGGTGCAATCTCAGTTCACTGCAACCTCCGCCTCCTGGGTTCAAGCAATTCTCCTGCCTCAGCTTCCCAAGTAGCTGGGATTACAGGCGTGTGCCACCATGCCCTGCTAATTTTTGTATTTTGTTTTTAGTAAAGATGGGGTTTTCGTAAAGAACTCCTGACCTCAAGTGATCCACTCACCTTGGCCTCCCAAAGTGCTGGGATTACAGGCATGCGGCACTGCGCCTGTCCAGCCTCACATTGTCTCACTGGCACCCAGCTGTCTCTTTCATATTCGCCTGCTGCACGCCTGGCGCTGGCTTTGTGCTGGAGAGGACAGCAAATGCAAGATGAGCTAGTTCCTGTCCTCAGGCAGTGTATGTCTCCTCTGTCTCGTGGTTGGGGAGGAGAGCTGAAGGGAGACTTGACCTAATCTCACGGATCAGGAAGGGCTTCCCCAAGGATGTGGCAATCAAGGTGAGACCTGAAAAATGAGTAGGAGATCCACGGGTGAAGAGGAGGGAGTGGGGGAGTCACACGCCTTAGGCAGAGTCTACTGAATGTGCGGAAGCCCGGAGGTGAGTCTGTGCTCCTTTTCAGAACCTAGAATAAAGCTGGTTGTGGGGGCTCTCACCTGTAATTCCAGTCATTCAGCAGGCGGAGGCAGGAGACCAGAGGTTGAGGCTGTAGTGAGCTATGACAGTGCCATTGCATCCTAGCCTGGGCAACAGGGTTGAGACCCTGTCTCTTAAAAGAAAAAAAGAACTTGGAAAAGGCCAGAGCACTGTGACAGGGCAAGGGGCTGGCATGAAGTCATTCAGTGAGGGAGGAGAGGGTAGCTGACCTGGGCTTTACAAGGCCTCAGAAGGCCATGGTAAAGATTGCAAAGGTTTTATGAAAAGGAGTGACATCAAATATGCACATTTAAAAGACCCCTTGGGCTGCTGTGTGGAAAATGGATTCATGATGGTGGGGAACAAAAGGGTGTACAGGGAAATTCGTGTAAAGTTATTGCAGGCAAGAAATCCTGGTGACTTTGATCGGGGTGCTGGTGGGCAGAGAACCGGACCAGTTGAGCTAGAAACTGGATGTTGCCTCCGTGGCTGGGAGACAGGTTGGCTGAGAAAGGTATCCGGTATGCCTGTCAGGCTTCTGGTGTGAGGAGCTGGGTGGACCGTGGTACTGTACTCTGAGATGAGGGACACTGGAGGGGAGCAGGGTTGACTGCGGGCGTTGGGTAGCTGCGATACATGAAGCCACATTTGCACATGTTGCATTGGAGGTACTTTAAAGAAGCTCTGATGGAGATGTCACAGCACAGGGATCTTTGAGTTCCTCTCAGAAGAGAGGGCTGGCCTAGAGATACACTTGTAGCCATCCACGTCTCAGTGATTGAAGACTTGGAGTGGATGAGATCCAGGGAGATAGCCTCGGAGTAACACCGTGTTCAGAGAGCAGGCGAAAGCAGAGTTGCCCCACACTCAGCCCCGGTCCCTTCCGCTCCCATCTCTCGCCTTCCTTCAGCAATCTAACTGATGGACAAAATCTTTGAGCTGTGGAAATGAGGACTGGCCATTGGAGATCCCACACACTCCTTGGCTGAAGGTGGAGTAGTCACAAAGTGGAACCTCCCTCCTTCTCTGCTTGGTCCCTGATGGCACCAACAGGCACTGATATTTTATATCACTTTATTTCAAAAATACGTAAAGTCAGACCAGGCACGGCAGCTCACGCCTATAATCCCAGCACTGTGGGAGGCCAAGGCGGGCAGATCACTTGAGGTCAGAAGTTCGAGACCAGCCTGGTCAACATGGTAAAACTCTGTCTCCACTAAAAATACAAAAAGTAGCCAGGTGTGGTGACGGACAACTATAATTTCAGCTACTTGGGAGGCCGAGGCAGGAGAATTGCTTGAACCCAGGAAGCAGAGGTTGCAGTGAGCTCAGATTGCACCACTGCACTCCAGCCTGGACGACAGAGTGAGATTCTGTTTCAAAAAAAAAAAAAAGGTAAAGTTGGCCAGGTGCATGGCTCATGCCTATAATCCCAGCATTATGGGAGGCAGAGGCAGATAGACCGGGAGGTTAGGAGTTTGTGACCAGCCTGGCCAACATGGTGAAACCTCCATCTCTACTAAAACTACAAAAATTACCCAGGCGTGGTAGTGCCGGCTACTCAGGAGGCTGTAGCCCCACCTATAGTCCCAGCTACTCAGGAAGCTGAGGGAGGAGAATCACTTGAGCACAAGAGTCGATAGTTGCAGTGAGCTGAGATCGCACCACTGCACTCCAGCCTGGTGACAGAGCAAGACTCCGCCTCAAAAACAAAGAAGGTAAAGTCAAAAAAACTTAGCCATACTTCCTCATTTGTGATATTTTGTGGTCGTATGCACATGCTCTTCTATTTGTGAACAACAGGAGAAAATGAGCCTGGAGATTCTTGTTCCACGTCTTTGTCTATCACCATCATCATCAGCTGGGGATTCGCAGCTGCTCTGGCATTTGGGCTTTCTGAGCTGGGGCTTTTGTGTACAGCTGAGCAAGCGCTCACATGTTGCTCACGATCACAACAGCATTTGACCCTTGCTCTCCCTCTTGCCCACAGGAAGCCCTGGAATCCTGCCAGACTCGCATTTCTAAGCTGGAGCTCCACCAGCAGGAGCAGCAAGCTCTGCAGACAGACACCGTGAATGCTAAAGTTCTCTTGGGGAAGTGCATCAACGTGGTCCTGGCCTTCATGACAGTCATCTTAGTGTGTGTGTCTACCATCGCGAAGTTCGTCTCACCCATGATGAAGAGCCGCTGCCACATCCTCGGCACCTTCTTTGCCGTGACTCTCCTTGCTATATTTTGTAAAAACTGGGACCATATCCTGTGTGCGATAGAGAGGATAATAATACCAAGATGAAGCCACTGGTTCCTGCCTTCAAGTCCTTTCAAGTTTTGATTTTAAAGAAAACTCTGTGCATACTACCAAATTTTTCAATGAATGATTGTGCTGACTCGTGTGCAAAAAAACTAGGGCTGTGTGGTGTATGTAAATAACTACGGTTCTCTTAACTCGGGAGCAGTCGCCGACTCAGTCCTTGTACTTGGTTAACACGAATCTGTTTGAGAGCTCTCCTACCTTGCTCACTGCCTTAATCAGACCGATTTCCTGCCCACCTGACTAGCCCAGCGTGGTAAACCTCTGTATATTGAGACCTTGGAATAATTGGGTGATCCAGAAGAAAAGAGATCTCTCTCTTAAGTCTTTGTCAGAATTGAGCTTCACGATTGCTAATGGTTGTGTTTTCTGTGAGTCCTATAAAGAGTAAGGATATGCATGATTCAGGGAATGAAGAACCACAGGCTTGGGCAGTGTGAAACACTGTGGCCTATGGAAACACAGGTCCCTGTGTGATCCACCCCGCTTGTCTCCAGGTGACCGTAGGTCCCATCTTGTACTCAGTGTCCGCAGCGGTCAGTCATGTGTGACCCTGTAACATGGAAATCTTACCACACACCTGTTTATCCAACAAGTCTACCTGAGGGGTATTGTTACACTTTAAATGGTAAGGCATAGGGATTTATGAATGGGGCTTTTTCCTTCTCATACCCAGGCAACCGACACCTGATTTTATGTGAACTGGCTAGCAAACGTCCAGCCTTCAGAGTGTGCAGCAAGGTTTTCAAATCACTCATCAGACTGTGACTTTAACATTAATTTGGAGTCCTGTGAGCACTACTCTGAAGGCTTGTGTTTTGGCACATCTTTTTTTATTTTTATTTTTTGAGACAGGGTTCTGCTGTTACTTCCCAGGCGGGTCGCAAACTCCTTGCCTCAAGGGATTTGCCCACCTCAGCCTCCCGACTAGCCAGGACTGCAGGCACAAGCCACCCTGCCTGGCTGTTTTGGCAAATGTTGATTGTGGTAAGCCCGCCTGGAAGATGTGATTCATTTTATTCACAGGTCTGTGAGGGACTGCAAAGCTTACTCAGGAAATGAAAACAGATGATGGTCATGTTGCAGTTCTTTCCTTGAAGGACAACAGAACCATAGCCTATAAAGTGCACTGAGGTGTAGGAACACTGAACACATGAGGGAAAGAGGACATTGGGTGTGACTGAATGGCGGCTAGATTAGTGGGAGCAACCAACCTGGATGAAGATTGAGAGAGTCCTCTTCAGGAAGTGAAAGGCAAGCAAGAATGAAATCAGTCCAGTGTTTGAGCCAAAGTTACCACCTGCCTCTGTTTTGTTTTGTTTTGTTTTGTTTTTAAGATGGAGTATTGCTCTGTCGCCCAGGCTGGAGTGCAGTGGTGTGATCTCAGCTCACTGCAGCCCCCGCCTCATGGGTTCAAGCGATTCTCCTGCTTCAGCCTCCAGAGTAGCTGAGACTACATGCGCATGCCACCATACCCAGCTAATTTTTTGTATTTTTAGTAGAGACACAGTTTCACCATGTTGGCCAATATGGTGTCGATCTCCTGACCTCATGATCCACCCACCTTGGCCTCTCAAAGTGCTGGGATTACAGGTGTGAGTCACCTCGCCTGCCTGCCACCTGTCTCTTAACATCTCACTGAACCTAAGTTTGTAGGTCTTAGGATGCCCACACTGCCTCTGAGCTGAAAGCATTCAAATGTTAACATCCCTGTTTGGGGCATACCATTCAGCCCAGATGATACTTTCCTTTAAATCTGTGTCTGTGTGTATATAACAAAGCAGAAGATGTAAGCAATGTTCATGGAAACTGCTGTTGAGCCCCTTGTCCCGCCACTCCCACCATCTGCTGCAGCAGGAAGGCATGAGAGTACATTTTCTTTCAGAAGACATAAAGTCTCCTGGATTCAAATTAAGTGCAATATTTTGTAAAGAACTCTTCTTAGGGAAATCTCCTGAAGGAAAAAAATGTGACGGCATGTGCCATAGTCTGAGAGAATGGAATAGTTGAGCATTTAGAATAAGTCTAAGTGTTTATGAGTGGGACTCATGCAGCTCAAGCTTTCTTCCTTTTTTTTTTCAAGTGTACAGTTCAGTGGTTTTAGTAAATTCGCCAACTTGTTCAGCCATCACCACTATCTAATTCCAGACCCATGCTTTTTAAAACAATAAATGTCATTTCAGGGACTCTTTGGTGATAAAGTATTTTGGATTCGGGGAAGAGGGAGTTACCAGTCCTACCCCTATCTCATGACTATGTCTCCTTTCATTGTCAGACTCCCCCAGTCTCCATGTTGATGTGTATACACAGATAAGTAGGCCAGGTAGAAGGCAGGTAGGCGGAGAGAATGCTGTTTTTCCTTTAGCTTTTGTATTTCAATGGCCAGCATTACTCTTGAGCTGTGGGCATCAGACTCAGTGTGGGCGGAGAGCTGAGTAACTTAGACTCCTAAGTCAAGCTGGGGACTGGATGGGCCCATCTTGCTATCTGTGAATCTTTCCTAGCATCACTTTAGACACACCAGGGATTGAATGCTGCTTTTAGTTTAGAGATTGCGAGATTTCTAGCCCTTGAGATGAAGGGCTTTGGGAGGGCTCAAGAAGACATAGGCCTCATTGTCACACCAGCCCGCACCATTCCAGTGCTCAGCCTAGCAAGTGTGCTTTAATGCACGCTTCTCAGACCTGTGACCTGTGTATCTTCTCCCCAGTGACGGAAGTAGAGAAGAGAATGGAAAACAGCATACTCCATCCCCTCTAGTTTGGAGCTGTTTTATAGACCCTGCTAGAAACTAGCGTTATTCTAAAATACTGTAGAGTCTATAATCCTCCTACCTGGATCATGAATTCCTTTTAAATAATTCATATTTTCATTGACTCTCACTAAATGTCAAATTGTCTTGTTTTCACTTGGATAGGCTCAACCTGCCTGGCATATTTATTTCACAGTCTTGTTGAAAGTTCATGAAACTTTGTACTTTTTAATAAGATGATACACTCAAGGAAACTTTTAATCTCTGCAGTTTATTCTCTTCTTAAGGAATAAACACTCCCACTGCTTGTTCTCTTCAGTGCAAAAGGAGATTAAATGACCTTTTAGAAATATTGCAATTACAAATAGTGACATAGCTATAACGTATGCTGGAATCGGTTATTTGATTTATATTTGTGTCAACTATAATCCTTTCTCCACACCTTTCATTTATAGTAAACATCTTGGGCAAATGCAAAGATAAAAAGTGCTTGTTGGACAGGTCAGCACCTGTCACTCAGCAACCATTCCCGAGTGGTCGAAGATGCTGGACATCGGATTCTAGCACTGGGTTTATGTGGTGACAAACTCTCCTGTGGCTTTTGAGTTGGTTATTTCAAGCTCAAACTTTGAGTATGATTAAACCAGAGCAACACCCCCGGCCAAAAAAAACCCATAGTGAAACCAAGAAAGCACTCCATTGCTGGGTTTGGACAATGAATGTGGGATTAGTCCCAAGTTTCCAGCTTGGAATAGTAGCATTTTTGCCTACGTGATCCTGATGTCCTATTCAACAGATGGAAATCTTCTGAAACTCTGTATCATTTTATCCAGTGAGGCTGTTACCCTTCTCTGTCAATTAGCATTCATGTGGTTTTCGCTCTTTCCAGCTCTGTCACTCTTGTTTTCATTTAAATATTGCCCCACTCTGTGTGTTTATAGCCTTGCCATTTCTCTAGCATATCAGGTTTAATTATGGGTTCAGTAATAATGAGGAACTAGCTTCCCTCAGGCCACTAATTACTTTTGTCTTTTTTGGTCGGATTGTACAAAATTATTTTGCATTGAATGGGAACAATTTTGCAGTGAATCCAGATATGGTTGTATTGGTTTGGAAAAACATTTAAATATATTTATTCATAGGAACATGTGTGATTAAACAGCTTACTTTGCATGTTTCTGAAATTCTGAGGAGTGTGCTGGGAAGAAATGAGTGGAAGAAATGGCATCACTTAAAATTCAGGGTTTATATGGAGAAGTGTTTTAAGCATATCGCATACACAAAAGAACGAGTTGGTTTAAAAAGATAAATCACTGCAAAGAATGAAATTGGCTTATTCACATCAAAAGTAGATATTAAAAAATATGAAACAACTAACCTATAGTTTTCTGAAATCAGTACAATTATCTTTATAAGAAGCTAGAAAGTAATGTACCTTGATTGTTTTAGGAATGATTTATGTGTTGCAATTTTAATTTATTTAAAGCATGTCTGCTGTGTTTGTCCTAAGAGAAATGTTTCAACAAAACGTGCTCTGTGTTTAAGATATGTTTAGACAGTAGTTCAACTCTGAAAGTAGAAACTGGAAATGTTTATTGTGAGATTTGTTGCGGAATCTCCATTTTGTGAGTTACTATGTAGTTTCATGTCAGCCTAAAATTGTAAATTCCCTGTAGATCTTCACCCCATTGTGGTGTCATCAATGAATTCAAAGCCGGTGCCATTATTTTTTTAAATAAACACTTGATGTTAGGTTTGGTGTTAAATAAAGAGGTAGCTTTCTTAAATTTCACATTTGTTGGAGGCCATCTCAGTAGCAAATGTGTGTGTGTGACCAATTTTTTAATAGATTTTCGTTTTTAGAGCACTTTCAGGTTCACAGCAAAATTGAGCAGAAGGTACAGAGATTTCTCTTATAACTCCTGCCCCAGATAGGTATCGCTCCCCTCCACGTGAGTGACGCCTCCCACCAGAGTGGTGCAGTTGTTAGAATTGATAAACCTGCATTGACGCGCATCACTATCATCCAGAGTTCATAGTTTAGGGTTTGTGGTATTGTCATTCTGTGGGTTTGGACAAATGTACGACTACATGTATCCCCTATTACAGTATCACATAGAATAATTTCCCTTCCCTAAAAATCCTCTGTGCTTCATCTATTCGTCCCTCTCTCCCCCTGTAATCAACTTTTAAACGAATCTCAAGTCTTCTACATAGTAGGAAGTTGGCGGTATGTGGCTTGAGCCCTGGCAGGAGGAAGGGTGGTTTATTCACAGTCATGCTAGTAAACATGTCCTTGTGTTGAAAAGAGGAAGTGATGGTGAGGACAAAGCAGAGCCTTTATGAGCTGGAATGGGACAACGAGGACAATGCCAATCTGGGTGGGCGCAGGGCGGTAGCACAGGAGGGAGCAGACGCCTGACTTGAGTAGGCGGCTTCGTGGCTGTCTCCGGTTTGTCTAGGGCTTTGGCGTCCACAATGCACTTGATTTTCATAGTGTGTGAACTCATATGAACCAGTCCAGTGGTACAGATACCAGCACTAGTCCTGCAATAGTTCACCTTTATCCTCAGGGGATGCCTGAAACCTCAGATAGAACTGAACCTCGTATACACCATTTTTCCTAAAATACATACTTATGATAAAGTTTAACTTACAAATGAGACACAGTAAGAGATTAATGGCTAATAATAAAATAGATTAGGACCATATACTATAGTAAAGTAACATGTTACTGGAGCACAAGCAGTTCGTCTGATAACCGAGACAGCTGCTAAGTGACTCATGGTTGGGAAGCGTCTATAGGGATGTCCAGTGTTTTGGCTTCCCTGGGCCACACTGGAAGAAGAATGGTCTTGGGCCACACATAAAATACCCTAACATGACAGCTGATGAGCTAAAACAAAATCACAAAAAAATCTCACAATGTGTTGAGAAAGTTTACAGATTTGT